CCAGTTCCTACCCTTAACATTGGCACATGGGATGGCTTGATATTGTTGAAGGAAAGAAGGAACTATGGGAAGGCAGATAAATTAGGAGACTGAAAATTGTTGGTTTTGAAGAAAATGAGAGAACTTTGGGTTTGGCAGGCAAAATGGAGCAGGAATTAGGACTATATTAGAAATACAGAAGAAGAATTAGTAGAGCCTGATAATAGAACTCTCAGGGAAGAAATGTTATGTTCCTCTAATAAATCTGATTTTTGAACAAGTATTCCAAAATGCATGCAATTCACATTTCTTTTAGTTACCTTGGGAGGCTATATCCCTATTCCAATGTTTCTCTTTGGGATTTTTTTTTTTTTTTTTTACAGATTATATACATACAAATGAATTTGTTTTATTTTGGTCAAGAAAATTTTGTCTGAAATGGGTATTCCTTAACCTTACTACCATTTTTGAGTCTAAAGTGACTTTTGAATATTTCCAAAATGAAAATATACCCAGTGATGATGAAATCTGCATTGTTAAGCAGTAGTCATCCACTTATCAGATTGGTGTTTATTGAGAACCCCCTTTTAACATCAAAGCAGTAAGTATTATGTTGGCCAGAGTAAGTATAATATTGGATTGAAAGTCCTAAGTGGCCCAGAGAAAGTGAACTATGGAAGTTCAGAGGAAGATGAAGTCACTTTTCTTGAGAGCATGGGGAAGACTTCATGGAGAAGGTAACCTCTGAACTGGCCTCAAAGAAGGTGGTATTTGAACATTTAAAGATGTGGTAAGAAAGGCATTACAGGTAGAAAGAACTACCTAAACAGAGGCATAGAATTACTGAGACTCTGAGGACCAAGTTTGGACTTAGGGAATCATTAAGCAAAACTCATTTGGATTTGCAATTTTTCATGTGTATTTGTTAAATAAAAGTAGTCTGGTCACTTTATATATGTATCATCACAATTGAGTCATCACTTTTACTCCACCCTTAGAGAGAAGGTAGGATGAGATTATTTACATGTCCTTTTTTCTAGTGAATAAGATCATTTTTTAAAAAACAGCTTTATTGATATATAATTTACATACCATACAATTCACTCATTTAAAGTGTACAATTAGGTGTTTCTCAGTGTATTTATAGAATTGTACAACATCTCCAGAGTCTAATTTTAGGACATTTTTGTTCCCTCAGAAAGAAACTTTATACCCATTACACACACTGATTCTCTTCCATCCCCTAATATCTCAGCCTTAGGCGACCATCAATTTGCTTTCGGTCTTTGTGGATTTGTGCATTTTGGACATTTCATGTAAATGGAGTCAAATTATGTGGCCTCTTGTGTCTGACTTTTCACTTAGCATAATGTTTTCATCTATGGTGTGGTATGTGTCAGAAATTCATTCCTTTTTGTTGCTGAATAATATTCTATTGTGTAAAATAAGGCCATTTTAAACACAGAAAGTGATTCTAATGTGGTAACCTAGGAGGGGACTTAGGAGAAAGAAGGGTGGGAAAGGAAAAATAGAGGAGGGGTACAAGTTCTAAAAACAATGTGAAAAATTCAGAAGCCTTAGGCTGTCTGTGTTGTAGCACGGTATATAAATTTTTCTTTTTTCCCATTGAAGTGGCCCATAGAAATCTGAGTCTTTGTGACCGAAAAGTCATGCCAGTTTTGTTAATGGAGGTTCATACACTTTGCCTTCTCCATTGCATCTGAGGGCATGTGTTGTAATTACTCCTGGGGCTCATGAAATATTTATTTTGGGAGTTTTGTGGCTTTGACTTTTATGAGCCTCACCCATATATCATACCCTGTTGGGACCAGCTCTGGGACAAATAGCAGCATTGTCTTTAAACTGATAGATGGGAAAGACTGTTCTTTTCTTAAAAAGAAATCAGCAGTTTATTTGTTGTTAATACGTTATTTGTATTAACATCTGAAATTATTCCTACTTTAATTTCTTTTGGTTGATGTTGGACTTACTTCATTTAAAATAAATAGCAATGTTTGGGTGACAGGCCTATGGGTGATTTTTTTTCTTTTCTTAATATTCTGTATTTTCTAATTTTTTTTCCTAATTTTTAAAATGAAAATATTCATTCCTATATTAAAGAAAAATTAAGGTAAATAATAAGAATGTATGATTCTTTATAGTTTATAAAATGCTTTCATATAAACATATGTATAATCTCATAGCTATCCTTTAAGGTAGATATTGCTATGGTCCCAATTTTACAGATGAAGATACTGTAAATCAGTTAAGTAACCTGCCTACAGTGGCACAGCTGCTTAGTAGTGGAGCTTGGACTCAAACTCTGTTTCTCTCACTCTGGACCCTCTGCTTTTTTCACTTTACCATGCTGTGTCTACTTGTCCTGAATTGGCAAGATTATTTGTTCAAAGCCTGGCTTTGGCATGGCCTGTGAAGGGCCTATATTGAAAAAATGATGTGAAGGTAAGACATTCAATTCTGTGATTCAAAGATGTGAAGAAAGCGACATTCAATTCTGCAGCTTAAAAAAATAGATACAGATAGTACAAAAGTTTTTATGTCTGTAAAAGATAAAGACTTTTTCTAGTGTATTTAGCTGCTTAGCTTGAAGTCTATTAGAACTAAATAGTATTTAAAGTAGGTTTGTAAGATTTCTTTATTTAAATAGTATTTAAAGTAGGCTTGTGGGTTCTTTGGGGAATTAGAAGTTTCATTTGGAACAGATCAAAAGAGATATACAAATGGGACTTAAATCTGCTCATGACTGAGAGAATGGAAGAGTTTTGGAGACTGTGTTTCTACAACTATGTTTATAATTTTAATGGAGCCCCAATTTAAGTATTTGTTTGTATGTACTGACACTGTAGAAAGTTAGGCTTTTCTAAAGCTGTTTTATAAAATAGCACTGGTATAACAGTGGACACAATAAAAGTTATTTTATATTTCATGGACAAAATAAAAGTTATTTTATATTTTATGGACAAGATAAAAGTTAAAGTCCTGTGCTGTCAACCACACTATCCTAAGCTGACTCCTTTAGCCCTTGTCAGGAGTAAGGACAGCTTTAAGGCAACTGCTTTTATGGATATGGGACTAATTTGGATTTTAATATTTCTTGTATATTTGTTAAAAGAGTAGTCTGGTAATTTTATATACTTAATTACTGGTTATTTACACACAATATGTGTGTGTATATATATATATATAAATACTTATGTTTTATATGTATCACAACTGAGAGGGTCATTATTTTAAAAGCTTTCTGACAACTTCCTTGGGTTTTGCTGGCACACCTTGAAAGAGGGTAGGATGGGAACATCTTAATTATCCACAGTATACAGCCAGCATAGTGTGTATTGTTTTTCTCTTTTGACAGCCATCATACTTGGTCAGTATTTGTCTTCACTGGCTTGAAGGTTTCTCAATGGCAGGGACCATGTCTGTGTGTTTGCTTCTTTATTTCCAGTGTCAAGTTGGTAATAAGTATGAAATATAACTTAAAAAATACTAAATACATAGCATTCATTTTTTATGCACAAAATATTATAATAGGAATTTTTGTGTGGCAAATATCTTCTATCCCCAGCTTTCAAACATCTGGTGTACTGAATTTGAACAGTCTCTTCAAATTTATAACAGGCCTCATCTGAAACAAGTAGAATGTATACTGAGAGGGAGGAATGAATGGCTAACTGCCCATTGTTTGAGATAACAAAAGTGTTAGGCTATTTTGGGTTGTGGTTCTCTGTTTCAGAGTCATTTCAACTATGCAGGCCACTTACTAAATTCATAATGTGTGAATATGTTGCCTTCTGTCTGAAAGTGGCATTGAGATTTTTCATTCTTTTTGAACTCTTTTTGTCTTTTTAAAATTTAACAGTTTAGTCCAGGGGTTGATATATTGTTTGGAGCTCTGCTAGTTACAGTGCCGTATTATACCATGAGTCATCAGTGCCTCATTAGAAGATTTTTATTTCCTTGAACCATATGGTAGAAGACAAAGATTTCAGAAAGTTGATCTGCTTCTTTTTTGTGTTTTGGCTGATCTGGGGCCCAGCTTTTTCAGTGGACCTTATGTCATGGTCACGACGACGGTGGGGTATATTTTTACATAATAAACCAGCATTAGAGTAGTTTCAAAAGAAGTAGCAGTGTGGAAAGAGCAAATGTCAGAGGTGAGTTGGTATCCAAGCAAGTTTTCTCCCTAGGATAATTCTGCGTGCTCAGGACTCTTGCTGAGGAAGGGTCAGCCTGTCAGTTCATGTTGCTTTCAGGCCAGTCTGCTGTTATATCTTCCCAAATAGAAAGGACTAAAAGAAGAAAACAAACTTTAGCCTTGGCTTTTTTAAGGTCCAACAGCCTTCAATGCTATGTAGTATAAATATTTCAGAGTGAGCTTTAAGGGGTAAAGTTCAAATCTATAATAAGACTCTGAAACACCCAGAGATGAAAGTTTAGATATGTGAGGAAGGACCTCCCATTGGAGGCTTTCATCAGTCTTTCTGTTCCTTGTCTGGACCTGTAGAAGCCTCACAGTATATATTTGGGTATATTGGGCCACATAGACAGTTAAGTTAAGATAACATGTTTCGAGTTATCTAGGTGACTACTCCTCTGATTTTTTCCTGTAATTTTCTTGTTCATTCAGTGTGTGTTGGGAATGGTTATGAGAGGAAGGCTATCTTACCTGTTTCTCCTTAATAATTTACAAAAAGGTTAATTAGGGAAGGAAGTTGAAATAAATATTTAAGTAGAGGATTTTTGTTCATTTGTATTTTTATCATAGTTAAACTTTTATTTTTCATTTAAAATAATAATAGTGAATAGTATACCATCAATAATTATTTTTTGTCATGCTGCCATAGTCTTCAAAAAGAACAGTTTTTCTTGTTACAAAAGTGTTATACTTTTTATTGTTGAAATTTAAAACATCTATAATCACAGTCTTCTTACAGTGTTTCTCAGCCTTTTTCAATCTTTTACCTCTATTCCAAACCAATTTGTTTCCACAGATATAAATACAAACTTAACTATAAAGAGATGAACCAGTTCTTATCCCTTTCCCACCACTAACACCCCTCCTCCCAAACCATTTAATTCACTTTCCTGCTCAAAAATTTGCAAACAAAAGCAAAGAAACCCAGTCTGTTATAACTACCCAGGATTTTCACTGTCATGTGCTGTTTGGGGAGCCATACTGCTTAGTTAACAGTGCTTTATGTGAGTGTGTAATGAAATAAGTTCAGAATAATGGACTGGATCCTGAAAGAACTTATAATCTCAACATCCTCTTTAAAGATATGGGGTCTTTACATTGAATAAGTTTGTGCATTATATGTACACAAAGGGATAAGGTATGATAGAGTAATGAATAAAAGGGGACTTGTATAATTAGATGTAGGCAGTTAGGGAGTCCTTGCTTTCTTTCCAGTCCCTCGGTAAAACTTTGTAGGTCTTCTGTACTTATATGCTGGGTCACGAATCTTTGGATAATTGATTTGATTCTGTGCTTGTTTCTCTCTCTCTCCCTACTCCCCTAGGCTGTCTCCTTCTAAGACTGTTGGTTTCTGGAGGGCAAAGACTGGTTATATTCTTCTTGATATTCTCAGTGTTTTCCTTGTGGTATCCCAGGTGGTGCAGTGGTAAAGGATCTGCCTGCCATTGCAGGAGATGCAGGAGACTGGAGTTTGATCTCTGGGTCTGGAAGTTCCCCTGGAAGAGAAAATGGCAACTGATCCCAATATTCTTGCCTGGAAAATCCCATGGACAGAGGAGCCTGGTGGGTCCTTTGTCCATACAGTCCATAGGGTAGCAAAGAGTCAGACATGACTGAGTACACATGCACACTTATCCCATCTCATGCTCATAGTATTCCTTTGATAAATGTGTTGTGCTTTGATATTCACTATAGCCACTAGTCATCCTAGGTTTATTCATGATGATAAAGATAGCTCACTATCTCTTGCCTCCATTGGATGACTTGGTATTCTCTTCTGCCCTTAAATGTTGCTATATACAAATGCCTATGTAATCACAAAGATAAACAGATTCATAAATATTATATTGTGTTGGTTACATATTTGGAACTTTAGATTCCAAAAACTTCTGTTACTTCTATCAGAAGTCAGCTTATTGAATTGGTATGAATGTGGCATGTGTGTATGTATAGAGGATGAGAGGTAGTGAATCTTAGAACTAAAAATGTTTTACAAGTATTGTTAAGTTGCAGAAAATAGAGTCTTGGCCCTTAGAGAATTTCCCACTGATAAGATTTCCAGTTGAATGATTTTTAAGGGGAAAGTGGCTGAATTTCATTGCAGTTGGCCACAGTCCAAGTCAAAGTCATTCCTTCTTTTGAAATAAGCTTAACTTATTCTCATAGGTAGGCTTTCTGTGAAGAAAGAAAAATGGTATATTTGTTCTTAGATTTGAAAGTTGAGGGACCAACTAGCAACTTACCTAGCTTCCCTGTATTTCCAGCCTTCTCTCTGTCCCCACCTCATCCCTGGAGAACTGGATCATCTTTTATCTGTAAGGTGGACAGCATGTTTTTATTCATTTAATTCAAATAGATAAGGATATTTGAATGTGCTGGTAAATTTGTAGTAACACTCAATTTTCTTATTCTATGGCTCTCACCCAACAGCAAAATTAGTTCAGACTCTAGCTCTGCTCATTGCCTGGTGTTCTGAATGATTTGTTGTCATTCAGTCACTAAGTCATTTCCAACTCATTGTGACCTCGTGGACCACAGTATGTCAGGCTTCCCTGTCCTTCACTATTTCCCAGAGTTTGCTCAAATTCATGTCCATTGAGTCAGTAATGCCATCCAACCATCTCATCCTCGGTTGCCCCCTTTCTCCTCCTGCCCTCAATCTTTCCCAGCATCAGGGTCTTTTCTAATGAGTCAGCTCTTCACATCAGATGGCCAAAGTATTGGAGCTTCAGCTTCAGCATCAGTCCTTCCAATGAATATTCAGGGTTGATTTCCTTTAGGATTGACTGGTTTGATCTCCTTGCTGTCCAAGGGGCTCTCAAGAGTTGTCTCTAGTGCCGCAATTCAAAAGCATCCATTCTTTGGCACTCAGCCTTCTTTATGGTCCAACTTTCAGATATGGTCTGTGGCCTCAAGTTGTTAAAACACAGGTGAAATTTATGATCTTATAAAAGATTTAGCTTATCTACATTCTCTCCACGCATCAAATTGTTGTGGAATTTAAATTATTTAAAGGGTTGTGTGTTGGTAACAGTAGTTTTTATTCCTTGGAGCCATGGAGAAAATGTGAGTGGTCCAGCAGCAGAATGCTCAGGTGGTGTGCCCCCTAGTTAGGAAAAGAACTCTGAGCATTGGCTTCAGCTTCCCTCTTCCTGTGATTCTCTAGGCACAGTGGGTATTCATTTCCTCAAAGCTGGGTGCTGCTTGTGGGCCATCACATGGGCTGTTCCCTCTGCTTGAGCTACTCTTTACTTGGATTTCGAAGTAAAGCTATTCTTTACTTGGATCATTTCTGTTAATCCTTGACTTTCATATTAAATGTCAGCTTTTTAGGGTTGACTCTAAAAAGTCAAAGGTTGACCTCCTTGACTCTGCCTTCAAAACTATGTTAGGTCCCTCTATCGTATGATTATTTTTTTCTTTATTGTGCTTTTTATAATTTTAAGTCATTATTTGTGTGACAGTTGCTTCTTTAACATCTTTCCCCCTCTAGAGTCCCGTGGGCAAATACTGGCTCTGCTGTGTTTGCCCCTGAATTTCCAGCACCCATCAAAGTGCTTGACACATAGTAGAGTCTTAAGGTGGAGAAGGAAATGGCAAGCCGCTCCAGTGTTCTCACCTGGAGAATCCCAGGGATGGGGGAGCCTGGTAGGCCACTGTCTATGGGGTCGTACAGAGTCGGACACGACTGAAGTGACGCAGCAGCAGCAGAGTCTTAAGAAATGATTGTTGAATGAACAAGAGGGAAGACCATTTGCTGCTTCCCTACCCCCAGACTGTTCTATGCTTCTTTGGAAAAATGTATATCATGCATGGGTGAATCTTGGCAAAATTTAGCTGCCAATTAGGAAAGCAGCTGTAAATCACTGCTTAGCATGGGGTATTGCATGCAGTAGGATCATCCAATTCATGTTTCCTGAATGAATCAATTCTAGGCTTAGAGTCCTGGAGTGCAGATGGGGATAATCCTTTTCAGCGTAGAATCATGCAGGGTATGTAAATGTAAATAAAAATATAGCATGGGTTTGGGATTCTCTATTAGTTTTGATGCTTTGCAAATGAACAGCTTTGGCAAAGTGCATCTAGTAGTATGAGTTAGCAAATACCAAAGTCAGAGTTTAGATATAGATATAAGGTACTCCCCTGGAGAAGGGTATGGCAACCCACTCCAGTATTCTTGCCTTGAGAATCCCATGGACAGAGGAGCCTGGTGGGCTACAGTCCATAGGGTCACAAAGAGTCAGACATGACTGAAGTGACTTAGCATTCATGCACGCACACAAGGTAATTCAGCCTAGAATATAATGGTTAAGAGTAAATTCTAAAGGTTTAAATCCTGCCATTGATTGACCCCTGCAACATATATAACATTGGAGAAAGTATTTAATTTTTGTTCCTCATAGTCCTCTTCTGTAAAACAAAGCTAATATTAGTATCTGACTTATAGTATAGTATCTTGAAGATTAATGAGTTCATAAAAATGTTTAGAACTATGCCTGACAGGTAAGAGCTCAGTGAGTGTTAGATATATTAATATATTTTCACATGATTTTTAAGGCATATTTTAAATGTTAGTCTAATGAAAAGGCAATGTTGATTTTTTTTTTTTAATGTCTAAGTATAACTCCTAACTTTTACTCAACAAGGCAAAGTGCCAGTGAAAGCTTTCTGTAGAATTCCATATGTTGTGGAATATACAGTTTTATCAACTGTGGGGAAAATATATCTCACAGTTTAGGTGCCTGAGCCTTTGATTGCCAGTTTCTCATGATTTAAATCAGATGTCTAAATTTATGATTGATATCTCCTTTATTTGGAGCAATAGTAAGGGTAAAAATTTATCTCTCCTCACCCACCCCAATTTAAAAGCAAAAATTGAGACTGAGGATTTGAGCTGTATTCCAAGCATTCATTATCCTGTTTTCTAAAAAAGAAAAAACCTGAAGGGGTAGTCACTAAAATAAATGGAATTGGCTCTTGCAGGTAGAGTTGAAAAGTATAATACATCTGTGAGATACAATTCATCTTGTTCTGGAACAGCCAAATTGATTTAACAATTATTTAATGATTGCATATTATGCTGGATAATGGAAAAGTTTAGTATCTCTAGCCTGAAAGGAAGGATAGAATCTCTTCAAATGTCCCATCAATATAAGAGTAATAGAAGGACTCCCTGGTGAGTAAGAATCCACCTTCCAATGTGGAGGATGTGGGTTTGATCCCTGGTTGGAAAACTAGGATCCTACATGCCCTGGGACAGTTCAGCCATGTGCTGCAACTACTGAGCCCCTGTGCCACACCAAAGACCCAGCACAGCCCTTCCCTCGCCCGCTGCCCCGACCCCTGCCAAAAGAAGTCGTGAGTCAAACTACATTATTTCTAGTGTTTCAGTGGTTTTCTGGAAATTTTTTAACATACATATTTAGCTTCAAAGTCTTAAATTAATTGGCACCTTTACTGTTCACTTGAATAAAATGGCAAAATATTTGTAATCCCACTGTCCCCTTATATATGGTTGTCTGAGATTTTGTTTTTCTCTTGATTTTTTTCACCTCGCAAATTAGACACTGTTGTTCTCTTACACTGTTGCTTTCCCCCTCATTTACCTATGTGTTCACCATTTTCTTTGTGATACAAGAGAAACAGTGAACAAATCTCCCTTCTTCCTGAAGTCTCTCCTTTACTAATAATATCTTTAGGTGGGTCTTTGGGCAGTACACACTCTAATTCTTTTATCTGAAAATATCTTTTATTTTGCCATCTTTTTTTTAGAAAGATAATTTAATTGGATATACAAAACTAGACTGGTAGTAATTTTTCTCCAGCACCTTGAAAATATTATCCAGTGTTTTCTGTCTTCAAATCTGCCATCAGTCTAATTGTTATTTTGCTCTAGGTGATGATTTATTTCCTTAGTATCTGCCATCAGTCTAATTGTTATTTTGCTCTAGGTGATGATTTTTTTCCTTAGTGAGTTTTAAAGTCCTTATTTATCTTTCTTGGGATTTTTTGGGCTCCCCGATTTTGAGGGTCAGTTTCTTTTATCAGTGCTAGAAAATTCTTAACTATCATCTCTTTGAATTTTCGCCTTTCTTCATTTTGTTCTCACCCTTTGAAAGTGTAGAGATTTTCTCACTCTATCCTCTGTATATCTGAACCGCTTATATTTTCCATTTGGTTATTTCTCCAGTTTGTTCGTTCTCATTCAACTGGGTCTAATATGCCATTTAATTCAGCCATTGAGTTTTTAATTTAAATGGCAGTATTTTTCATTTTTAGAATTGTATCTTTTTCAAAATCTTGTCAGTATTGGTAGTCTCTTGTTTTTTCATCATACTTTTTTAAAAAGATTGCTTTTATTTTCATTTTGTTTGATGAAAAACATCTTGGAGTGTAAGGAACAATGAGAGTAGAAAGGCACTTATAAAATCTGTTGAAATGCCAGGATACCATTACTGTTGAAATCACTGTTTAGGTTTTTGTTTTTTCCTCTTTAAAAAAATTTTTATTGTAGTAAAATATACATAAAATTTACTGTATTAGCTATTTTTAAGTATATCGTTTTGTGGCATTAAGTATATTCACATTTTTCTGTAGCCATCACCACAATCTCTAGAATCTTCTTTTTTTCTCAATTGGAACTTTGTACCCATTAAACCCTAACTCCCCATTTCTTTAGTAAGTGCAATTCCAGTCTCCTTCCTGCTTAACTTGACTTCTCTAGGTACCTTATGTAAGTATAATCATAACAGTATTTGTTCTTTTGTGAGTGGCATATTTAACTTAGCAATGGATCTTCAGATTTCATCTGTGTTGTAGCAAGTGTCAGAATTTCCTCCCTTTTTAAGGCTGAATAATATTCCATTTTATCACATTTTGCTTCCATTGTTTGGCTAAAGCAAATAATGCTGCTATTTCATCACACTTTTAATGCTTTCTGAGGTCTGGACTTTGTCCCCAAGGAGTATAAACTGACGAACTCATGGAGGACTGCAAACCCAACTTGTAATACAAGGGAACAAACCTGTAATCAAAGTCTGAAGGACCTTTTAAAGAATAAGGTGGAAAGAAGACAAGAGGGGAAGTTCATTCTGTGTTAAAGAGAAGCAGTGTTTGAAGCATGAGAGAGTGTGCCAGCCAGCGAAAACCTGGAATGCCTTCTGAGCAGAGAGAATGAAAAGATAGAAGAGTGTGAGTGTGCCATAGGGAGTAGGGAAGCTTTAGTGATGATACTGTTAAGGTAGATTGTGCTAGTTTGTGAAGGGACTTACATGCCATATTAATCACTGAACAACCTCCAATTTTTGAATAAGTGAAAATTTTACCCTGGTTCAAAATTTAAAATAGTGAATCGTCTCCGTCCCACCCTTGAACTCCAGCCACCTTGGTTCCCTCCTCAGAGTAAACTAATGGACACAGAAGACCAAATGTCTTGAGTGTGCTTCTAGAGATAGTTATGCATATTC